AAGATACTAGGACAGACTATGTTGTTTTCAATTTAACAAGAGCAAGTAAAAATAAGAATAGATTATCAATAAATACAAAATTCATTAGGTGAAATTTAAGTTTTCAGAAATAGCAAGAAGGGATACAGAAGAAAAACTTCAAAACTGTTCTAAACATTCAAAGGAAATGAATACAATTTAAAAGAATTAAGGGAAAAATTGAATAGACAAGGTATGGCATTCTAACTTAGACTATAAACTTCTTGAAGGCAATAAATATCTTACTATTGTAACCCTACATTAAGAGCTTAATACATTAATATGTACTATTAGTGTTGAATAAGCATGTCTTGAATTTCAGTGAGAGGTGAGAGGATATAAAATCTCAAAGTTCAGGAGAAAAGATTAGTGGTAAGCCTTGAAGGTGAATGGACAGTATAATCAGTGAATAAAGTATAGTAAAAAGTGAAGTGATTTAAGAGACAATAGCTAGATACCTCTTCTTCTTTTCTTTTTTTAACTAAGGGAACAATGTTTTCAATAAAATAAATCTGGAAAGGAAGTTTTTAAATGAAGAGCCTGTAATTGATGATCACAGTATGGAAAGAGAAAAGAGAAAAACAAAAGCTTAATAAGTTGCTGCTTTATTTTTCAATCATTAGATAAGAATGCATGGATAAGAATAGTTGTGAACAATTTAATGTTGGCACTAGTTGAATTGGAAACAGGATATTTTATAAATAATTGTAGAAGATAAAAGTAAACAAAACATGATTCATGCAAAGACAAAGTGGAAAGGAAACAATAAAGAGCTATTGAATAGAAGAAAGTATAAAAAAGTCCAATCAAGCTTAAAAATTATGACAAGTATAAATGGCTTAAATTTCCCTTTTCAAATGGAAAGATCTTCACATTAAATTAAAATGAAAGTCTTATGATTTGCTGGTGCTTTCAGAGTCATACTTCAAGAGAAATGACATAGAAATATTTTTTAAATGGCAAAGATTTTCCAGCCTAATATCCTCACATCTAAATCAGAAAATATGAGCATCAAACAAAGCTAAATTTTTGTTTAAAAAACACAGTAAATGAAACAAGATGGACTATTTTATAAGCATTAAATATTATAATATTAGTGAAAGAATAATGGTACTGAAAAATAATTCATGCATGCTGTTAACAGCACAATAATGAAAATAATGTGTGCCAAGGTTTACAAAATTAGAAAACAATACTGGTTAAATATCAGCTGATTAAATAAGAAAAAGAAGTAAGCTGCTATTTTAATAGTTTATTTTTAGAAAGCATTAGATAAAATTTTAATACCTGTTCCTAAAAGGTGGTAAAAAAGAAAAATAAAATATTGCTTCAATATAAGTATTTACAACAAATAATCAACATTAAAGTTAAATCAAAAATACCAAAAAAAATTGTGTATTTAAAAACAGAAGTGGGATTGAAGTTGGTAATATAGTTTTGCCATAACTATGCTGTTAAATGTTTTATGCAAAGCCCTGATTAGGCAACAAGTAAACTGTAGCATAGGTACAACTAATAAGACATACTAAAGAAAGAAGATATATAAGGCGTGGAAAAACATATATTACCATTATGTACTGGGAAAGTATCTTTACAACTTGAAAACACAGAGGAATCCATGGAAATATTGGTGGATTTAATAATTTACTAGGATTCATTTTATAAGAACAACCAGATTTATAAAGCTCTATAATTGATTTTTCACGGAAGTATGTGAGCTACCTAAAAAATAAGTGATCTGTAATTTGGGATGCTATAAACATATTGATCAAAAGGCTGATTATTGTAAAAGATAACATACCTTTATATAATTTTTTCCAAAATATAAATTTAAAGGAAATCTAATAATTATCTCTCTTTTGGTTTTCACTTTTTGAGGTAATGGGAATGGGAATTTGATTTTGACATAAATCTGGAAAAGAAAGTAGGCAAGAATAGGAAAATCAGTTTTGAGAAGGAAGAGTAATGAGGAGAGTCTAATCTTATAAAATATTAAAATATATTATAAAGTTATAATAATTAAAATCATGTGATACTGGTACCAAAATAGAGAGATTAATGAGGTAAAATATGTGGTCAAAATAAATTATATTTTGCATAAGGATGAAATATTGATAATGGCAGGACACAAATCAATGGAGACAGACAACATTTTGCAATATGGGGTCTGATTAACAGTTTGGAAAAAATCAATATATACACTCAGATACACATACAATAGATTACTGGCACTGAAACCATAAAGGGACTTGTTTTTACAGTCATAGAATATTGTGACTAATTGGAAAGTGAAATATTAAAAATAGATTTGATTATATTAAAGCAAGCAAACAGTAGCCTAGGTACGATTATTTGAATATAATAACAGAAAGGGTTAAAATGATTGTTACACAGAAGCTTATACAAATTCACTATAAAACTGTGACAGAGACCTAATACATAAGAACACAATCACCTTTAATTAATTACATGGGAGAGACTAAAATCACTTTTCACAAAAGATGAAATATGAGACATTTGCAAACATATAAAAACATTCAACCTTTCTAATAATCAAATGAGCATGCACTAATTCAAAAATTAAGTTATATTTAGGTTTGTTCAATTATTTTAAAATTAATGTCAAGATCCTATAGTCTCACTAGCACAGGTTCTTTTCATTTGGATCAACTCATCCTCCAGAAGAAAGTAGAAAAGCTGGACAAAATCTCGCAAATGGTTGTTTAAAGGTATCACAGAGCTTGAGGTGGGGAAGATGCGAGAAATCAAGAATCCACAGGTCAGGGAACCCACAAGAGATCTCACTTACCTCACTGCCTGAGAGAAGCTAAAGGAAAACATCATGATAAAAATATGATCATCCAGAGGTTCAAATTATCGCTACCACTTTTCAGACTCAGTGTCGGACATCCAATAAAGTTACCAAGCATACCAGCAGATATAGGAGATAAGATATAGGAGCAAGAAACTTAAAATACCCCTGATTAATACATTAAGGAAATCAGATGAGATGACAGAGAATGTTAGCACGTTACTGGCAATTACAATAAGAATCAAATAGAAATTCCAGAACTTAGAAACAAACTGATAGAAATTACAAGCTCAATAGATGGATTTTAAGAGCATATCAGAAACAGAGTAGAAGAACAGGTTGATGAACTAGAAGACAAAGCAACTGAAAATTTAGTGTTAATATCTAAAGTCAGCAGTCATTGCAAAATGATTTATTGCTACATAACTGACAGCATATAAATCTATACAAGAGTTTTGCAAATGCTTTGGCAACATAAAGGAGATGTTTGAACAAAAAAAAAAAGAAAAAGGCTACATCTTTTCACCCAGTAATATTATCTGGGAATATTGTCTTAAGGAAAGAATTTTTTTTCAAGTGAATTAGTATATGCATGAAAATGTTCACTGTTCACTACATATTTATTTTATGATTGTAAGAACTACATGCAGACAATGTTTTATGTGTTTTACTCCAATTATTGCAGTTATCCCACACAAAAACTCAAAGAGGTAGCACTAGTCACTATGAATATCCTTATTTTACAGATGAGAAAACTGAAACATTGACAGGGCAAGTAAGTTACTCATTATACAGCTAGCAAGTAGAGGAGCAAGGATTTGACCCAGGCTGTCTGGCTGTACAATCTGCACTTAAACCTGCTCTAGGTTATTAGAGGCAACCCAAATAGCACACAACTGGAAATCTCTAAATAAGCACTGTATACCCATGCTGTGGAATATTACACAGGTGTTGAAAAGGAGCATAATGAATACTTTCTCACATGGAAAATACTCCTGATGTAATGTGAGAAGGAAAAAAAATCAAAAACACAGAACTACAACAAATTGAAAATTATTCCTACAGATATGATTATAAGCAAATATCCCCCAAAGCTAACAATTATGTGAGGTTTAGGAGCACGGTAGTTTCTTTTTCATTTCTCATTTTCTCAAATTTTTAATAATGCATATTTCTTATATTGAAACAATATATGCTGTTATCTGCATCTCAAAAAGCAGGAGTGTATATTGGCTAAGAGCATGGGTTCTGGCACCAGATTCCCTGGGCCACCATTTATTGGTACGTGACCTTGGATGAGTTGTTGAATTTTCGTTTTTACCTTTCTAAGTTTATCCGATAAAATGAGGATCATTGCACCTGACAGGGTGATTGTGAGAACTAAATATGCTTAACAGGTACTTAGGACAGTGTCTGGAACTTACAGAATATGTAGACATCACCTAGTATGGTTATTACTGTTGTTAAAAACAAACCAGCTTCCTGTTGCCAGCCCCTCAGTGATCAGACAGGACACAATGCCCTCCAATGCTCCTAGGTAGCCATTCACACGCAGCAAGTTTCTCTGGATCTTGCTTTACCCTTTCTGTGAACTCTCCAGAGTGGAGATTGTTAAGGGGGGCACTTTTGAACTCTTCCCAAGAAACAGTGACAAAAATCCAAAATCTGATTTTTGAATTTTCAAGAAGCGCAGACTCCCAGCTCGTGTCACATCTCTGCAGACATGTGCCTGAGGAATGGACACTGCCCACTGCAGCCGATTTTATATTAACACCTCATTACTGAATGGGAGAAATTGTTGACTTACCAATTTCCCCAACTTCCAGTCTTCTCTAGATAGCTGACATATCACCAGCTCCCTGATCTGATAGGTTAAGTAACAATAGCTGTTTAAAAAACAGAACAGTTGTTGTGACTTGACTTTTCTGAATTGATCAGCTCAGCAGGGCTGAAAATGTGCTTTCAAACTTTTTTCACCTGGAAGAGTTTGATACAATTTCCTCATTGTTTGAAACCAGTTCACTGAAGTTGTCTTGTCCTCTTCCCTGCCAATTAGACTGAAGGGTGCTTGCCAGGAGGGCACAGCAGTGTCTGTAAGAGAAAAGGATGCAAGTTGGTGTTTGTGCATTTGTGAGAACCATAACCTTTGACATGTGGCTTTGATTTTTAGGATGTTGCAGACCTCTGCTCTTGGAAGAGAATCTGCTCCGAAACCCTCCTGGGTGAGTTTGCCATTTCTGTAATGCTGTCTCTTCTCTGCCTCTGTCAAGTCCATCTGTCATTCGTGGCAATGTCCTTTTGTTAAATTACGTAATAATTCTCAGTCCTATAATAGTAAAAAAATTGCTTTCATGTCTGAGTTTTCCATTTTTGCTAAAGTTGTTATTCCCTTGAAGGTTATTCATGAAGGCATTTCTGGGTTTATTCACACCCACCCCCATTTTTTTCCAGGATTTACCCAAAACCTTTCACACGCTTTTCTAATAGACATGTTCTGTTACAACACAATATCACTTGTTAAGACAGATTTACTAAGGCACAGGCCAATTAGTGATGACTAGGTACCTGACGAACCAGGAAGAAATATAGTGAGAGTAGAAATTTCTTTTCTTTTTGGAGAAATGGATCAAAGACTTCAACCAGCATGTGGTGAATCAGTGCTAAGTCAGCAATAAGGTGAGAAAGACTATGTCACTGAAAGATGGTCTCAGGATCATTACCATACTATGAACTAATTTCTTAGGTGGGTAGGTACCAGCCCATTCCTTATTGTCGTAGTGTAAGTGGAGGCGATTTCCTGTATTCATGTTGCCATGAAGTTAGTGGAACTGGGTTTGGTCTCTTTATGGACCGTCAATGTCTGAACTTGACAAGTTTCTGAACTCTCTTGGGTCTCAGTTCCTCCACTTGAACATGGGAACAATAGTCTTTATCTATTAGGTTATGAAGGCAAAATGTCATGATATAAATCACCTGGCACCCAGCAAGCACTTAATTAACCTCCCCACCCTTATTTATGGAGATTGAAAATGAAGAGATGACATGTAACTTTGCTTGCCTCTTCAAATGTGTTCTTCATTGATTGTCATGTGAATGTAACCACTTTCTTAGAAAACAGATAAAATTTTCATCTCTTCATCCTTCATTCCTCTGTCTTATTGAGCCTCTACTATAAGTGCAGAGCTTAGTGCTGTGGAAGATGAAAAGGAGGGTGTAGTATTAATCCCCTTCTCTAAATCACAGTACAGAAAGGGAGGTTATGTTTTTTTTTTTAATTAAAAACTGCTGCTATTTGCCAGTAGAGAGAAAAAATAAAGGACCGTCTTAGTTCGTAAGCAGGAAAAGTTCTTTTTTCACCAGGTTTATCAGGAAAGGTGTGTGAGAGGTCTTACAAGATTGGGCTTTACAAAAGGGGGACAGTTTGGGCAACAAGGAGAGAGGGAATCCATTGAGGAAGACTGAACTAGAGGGATTGGTTGCAATGACAATGACCTGGACCTAAAAAGACCTGGGTTGCTTGGATGAACCGCTTAGTCTCCCAGCCCTCAATTTCTTCATCTGTGAAATGTGTACAGTCATCTCTGTCCTTTTGTTCTTTCAGGGCTCGGGAGAAGATCAGATGGGCGCTTCCGTGCTGAAGTTCTTCGGAAACCATGAAGCAATCTGTCAGTGCAAAGGGTGATGGATCTTGGTGTTCTTCCTCTTCTCCAGGGTGGCTGTTTACCACCTGGTGCTGCCAGCCAAAATTTTGAACAGACGTCCTAGGTGGGCACGTTTTTCTGTTGGCTCCAGAGGCGCATATTGAGAACTGTAGGAATCATCCTCTTGTCAGAGGGTGGAAGGATGGCATCCAACACCATGAGGTGGTCCAGAGCCTGTCTTGGTCTTGTGGGGTGCCGTGCCTCCCACAGTCAGCTAGAACATGCGCTGGTGACTCGGAAGTGGTTGGGCCCACAGGATGGGTTGGTGTTCTTCCATCAGCTTTAACATCTTGACCTCACTCCCTTGTTTACCACTCAGCATTGCAAAGAAAGTTTAGTTTTCTTCTTTTTTTCTCAGCTTGGCCTGAGATTCATCAGCCCCAGCTTTGCAGTATCTGTTTTCTAAGAAAGTGGTTACATTCACGTGATAATCAATGAAGAACACATTTGAAGAAGAAAGCAAAATTGCAGGGATAATTTGTGTATAATTAATAGTGTTTCCTTTCTTTGCCAGCTTAAATGTAATTCTTTTTCTTTAAACATTCTAAACAGTGGTCCTTAAACTCAAAGGTGCGGCACAATCATCCAGAGGCCATGTTAAAAATCACCATTGGGCCCACACCCCGGATTTCTGAGTAGAAATCAGTGCTTCTGGGGGAGACGTAGAATTTGCATTTTAGGGAGTTGCCTGGTAATGCTGATTTTGTTGGACCAGGAGTCACACTGGGAGCCTCTGAGGACCTCTGAACCTATTCAGCTTCCAGAGGTGATGGTATCAAGGCTGTTAGATGAATGCTTCTCGAATTGATCTTGCCAACCTAGTGAATCTAATTCTCGGTCTTAACCATGTAGGTCTGTAAGCAGCTGTGCCACCAGCAACTCACCATGCCAGTTCAACACACCTGAACTGGTCTGTAGCCTGCTCAACAAGCTTAGTCCCCTGATCACATGCTGGGATGTCATGGCAGTGTCAACTTACAAGATGCAAATGTCCAAACACAAACTCTCTGCTGTATTTATTTTACCACCAGCAATAGTTTGTGAATGGGCACTGGCTCCTGGGCCACATTTAGCATGACATTGTTTTAGATGAGACACTCTGTGCCTTGCCCTTCCTTCTCATTCCCAAGGTAACATCTGGTATATGAGGGGGAATCACTGTAGTTGGTGGTGCCTGTGGATTATGTGTATCTTTGGGTTCTCAAGGGCCTCCCATAGGGGGCATCTTCTCATGGGAATACTGGGGTTACTGAAAGATGACTTAAGTTCCATTTCTACTTTGGGGATGATGTGTTATAGCCCTGAACATCGCCCTTGTGTCCAAGTTCCACCTACCATAGCCTCTTTCTTGCTCCCACACTTCTGCTAGTCAACTAGCTATCTCCCAGGGAAGTGAGAAACTGCAGACTCCCGCCTCCCACCCAGAGGCCAGGCAGAGACAGGAATGCTCTCTAAGACCTATCTCTGCACCCACCTTCCCCTGCTGCCTCTGACCTCTGCTCCTGAGCCATGTTGGATGTGGTGCTGAGCCAAAGGGTGAGAATCCCCTAGAAGCAGTGGAGTGGGGACAGTTCCTAACAACCAATTGTTAATTGTTCAGGAAAGTTTTGCTCCAGTTGCTAAAAAATGATTATTAAAAATTAAATGATGTAAGTATACATTTAAGCAAATTATATAAAAATGAAAGGTAAACAATATTCCGAATCTTCACTTTTCATTTGTTATCCTGCAATTTATTACTAGCTGGGATTATTACATGTCTGTGGTGGAGATACTATGTAATCTAGTGCACTACCCCACAGCTCTCCCAGCGCTGTTCCATAATGCTGTGTTGATACTTTCCATTATGCCATGATAGGAGTATTTGCATCATGGAAATAAGCAAACATAATTCCGGGCCCTACCCTCCCTGACATGCATCTGCCAATTATGAAGATGTCCCAGCATATCGCTACAGAGTTTGCATCTTGGAAAGTGAGCCACTAACCCAGTGGGCTCCAGTCACCCTATACCTGTCTAAATGTTGCAAAGCTGCCCTTCCCCTGAAATTTAGCCCCCAGAAGGAATATGTGATGAACCCTAATCTGAACCCTAGCATCATCAAATCTCCTTGCTCCTCTCCCAAGAATAGACATTCATGACCTAACACCCCCTCTTTGGTATTCTTCCCCAAAGCCTATGCATTTAGTCTAATCATGAGAAAACCTTAGATAAACTCCAATTTAGCAACATTCTACCAAATAAAATTGTCACGATATGAAAGAATTGGAAAGACTGAGAAATGTGGTCACCTATTATCATGGATTGGACCTTGGAAAAGAAAGGAACTTGTAGAAAAACCAGGCCACCCAATTGAAGTTGGAGTCTTGTACCTATGTTAATTTCTTAATTGCTACCACTGTGACATGGATATGTAAAATGTTAACATTATGCAAAGCGGGTGAAGCCTTTGTGAGCACTCTCTCCACTACCTTTGCGGCTCTTCTGTAAATGTACAATTATTTCAAAATAAAACTAATGAAGGAAAAAATTCATGACCTAGGTAATAGGTGGAATAGATATCTTTACCATTCTGTGGAAAAAAACTTATGATCTGCATCCACCTGTTCTGTGATATGATTAATCCAAAGGAGAAAGATAGGAATGGCAGAAAAATCTTTCTCTCTTCCTAAAGCTTGGCTTCCAATTCTTTCATCTTTTGCAGAATAAAAAAAAATATATTGTGGATGTTGTAGGCCAAATGTTAACTCTTTCTTTTCATTTTTCTTACAGTTTTGCTATAACGAAAGTAACCCTCTTACGCTTAAAGTGGAGCTCTTCAGAAGATGAAGAATATATACTTACATAAGAATGAAGAATTCATCTACATAGAAAATAGACTAATATAAATGTAAAATATCACCTTTATTTTCTATCTCTGTGAAAACGGGCCACTATCCACAAAGCTGTTATTTCTAAATGGGAGACTAGCCAGGGAGTAACCCCTGAGTATGGTGGAGTAGTTGCGCGCTTAAACAATGCTGCTCAAAATTTAACTTGGATTTATATCACTTTTGGATTTTTGTTTTATTTTTTGGATTTTGGATTTTTGTTAACATTGCAGATTCCCAATCCATAAATTTGGGGTGGGGAGAGGTTGTTGGATTTTTATTTTTCTAGTAAATGGTCGGGCAATGCCACAGTGCTGGTCTCTGAGCCGCAAGATCCAGGGTCCTTTCTGAGCCGTCACCTCTCCGCGTGACCCAACGAGAGAAGGAGAATGCTTACTGCCCAATTTTGAAGACACATAGCACCATACCCCTGTAAAAGCAGAAATAAAATAAGCAAGTGAAACAAAAAAGAAACACGAATCAAACGCAATCAAAGTGTGCTGTTCTGGTGCACGGTTAGGATGAAGCAGACGGACACAATGGGGAACGTGCAGGGAAGTCTTGTCCAATGATTGTGGTTTCTGAAAAATAATATACCCTGGTTTTCAACGCATACTCTTACTTTACAAAAAAGGTCTTCCGAAATTTAACCTAGAGAAGCACATCATTGGCTGGTATCATAGAGATAACGTATGACAGTCAAGAGAAAGAAAAAAATAAAGCATTACACTGCTTTCCTGAGTGTTTGTACCCCGACATGATTAGAAGCATCTGAGGGGTAACATGCATTTACAGAGCCACTCTCCAAGCATTTGAACTGTGAGGCATTTAGAAGACCTTCTTAGTGTTCCCGCAGGCACACTGGCAGTATAGACGTGATTTATAGATAGCGGGATATGCCTGACCAAAGTAGACCTGACTTAGCCAATCACTTACCAGTTCTCTTACACATTTTTTTTTTTTGTTTCAGAAGCAATGTTGTGTGTTCTATATTATCCAATGTGCAGAAAATATAAATAATCTTGCAAATAGCCAAATGAGATCGTGTGTGCAGATTTGCATCCTGGTGGGCATAGTCCTGTCTAGTAATAGCTTTTCCTAACACTATCCCCACTGCCAAACAGACTGCTTATGCCTTCTTTGGCTTTCTTAATGTCTCTTCGGGGATCAATAAAATGTATCTTTTTTCCTAGATGCCAACTTCATCTCATTTGTACTTTAAGAATATCGTGTTAGTTTAAGAATATGTCAAGAATACAGTATCAGTTTAAAGGACTATGCAATTTAAAGCAACCTTGTGAAGATTTAGTTACCAGTGCTTGATATCAGGCGAGTTAGGGAAAAAAAATGTAGGGTGATTCCATCCTCTCCTTTTCAGATCTTTGAAGGGGAAAAGGGCCTGGCTTCTAAAACTGCTCAGTTAATTGGAAGAAATCCTATCCTACATTGCTTTTCTGATTTTCGTCTATGCAAATGGAAAAGTACATATAACATCTACCTTCTTTAAGAACTTGTGTTCCTTTTTCTCTTGAAATAAAAATTAAGAGTTAGAAATCATTGAGTCATCATTTTCGGGTTTCACAAAATAAATCTGATATTTGTATTAGCAACAAAGACATATATCAAACAGGAAAGAATTCACGAAATCAGATTTGATGTTCAAACAGAGCTGTTATGTTAACATGTGTGTTTCCTTTTTTGTTGGCCCTATTAGTCTGCTTTTAGTCTTAATTACATTATTTTATCTGCTATTTTTGTCATTTAAACATATAAATAGGTTTGACTTCAATTTTTTGCGCAGAGGTGAGTATGTAGTATAAATGAATAATCCCATATCTATTAGGAAAATCCTAATTTAGATTAGGCAACTATCTTTCCTTTGTGCATCCAAGTGTTGAGTGAGCTGGATTATTTTTTATAAGAAAATAAGGTGAATCTGAAGTAAAAGTAAAAGTGAAAAATATCATTTTTCATGGAAATAAACTAATAGTACTAAAGAAAGGAAGAACACATAAGAACATTTTCTTGATATGAGGTTTATAAATAGAAACCTAATTAATACATGTCATTGCTGTTCATTCTTAACTGCCCACCACACCCTCCTGGACTTTATTTCAGATGACCTTGTACTTGCTTTGCAGCTCACACTAAATGATGTGCGTTGTTTTGTATTTTTTTTTATATCAGTAAGCAAACTATTAAAAAATTATTCATAGTTGCAGGGAAAAAGGCATTCCCACAGTAGAAAAAGAAAACAGTTTTATTTCAACTTTGAGACGCTCCAGAGGGAAGCAGGATATATGAAGTGACATATTGTTTGAAAGTTGCTTTAACTACCACTAATCGAGATGGTAAATTGGCATAACAGTTGGGCAATGGCCGTTAAAATAAAAAACAAAAAAATACCCTCTTTAACTGTGTAAAACCATTCATACAGAGACATTCATTTTTAGAAATTTATGCTAAGGAAATATGGGGTATATTCACAATTAAGTGTAAGAATGTTCACTGTGATATGGCATATATTGGGGGGAAATTGGAAACACCCTAATGTCCAGAGACTAATTTAATAAATTATAACATATTCAATCTATAAAATTTTATTCACCATTACAAGGAAATAATGTAGAAAACATTTAATGATGTGAAAAATAGGAAACATTAAATGAAAAAAACTTAGAAAACAATTTGTGTAAAATGATCACACACACATACATATGGCATATTATACAATAAAATGTTAATGAATCAATTATAGGTCAATAAAACTAGGACTATTAGGGATATTTTTCTAGGTGCTGGGATTATGGATTATCTTGGTGTATCTATATTGTCTTGATTTTTCAACAAATATGTATTGTTTTTAATAAAAAATTATATTTAACTTTAAAAAAATCAATGTACCTTATCAATATGCTACTATTTGTGCTTTGAAAGTTTGATAGCTTTATATATTAATAATTCAATAACAGTTGTTTTTAAAACTGGAAATAGATCAAATAGTTGTCCTAAAACAAAGCAAAAAATGTAAAATCATAGTGACTAACTTTATTAATAGATAAGCCATAAATATCCTGATGAATTGTTTCCTGGTGAAAAGTAAGAATTGCCCTGGCCCAGAGTTACATTTTCTTGGAGTACCATCAAAGCCATAAGCAATTTGAATAGCTATTCTAACTTTGTAGGAGTAGTTTTTAACATTCCTGCATAGATGAGATAGCTTCTGGAAAGTTCCCAGTTCTCAACTATTTCCTTGATGACTCATCAGAGTACTTGATTTGTAATTAGGAAGGTTAAACTGACACATATTTATTAAATATCTACTAGTTATTTAGCTATCACTTACTACTGAGCTTACTGAGAGGGTGAGGTAGTGCTCTTTCCTAAAGCAGCTGCAGTATTGTTGGGAAGTAAATAATAGGAAACAAACTTTTTAAAAGTATATAATGCAAATGCTCCATGAACTGAAAAGATACGAGCTATGGTATTTCTAAAAAGCAAATGATAAACCTTGGCTGGGAGTCTGGGAGAAAGTTCAAGAAACAGGTACAGCTTGCCCTGATTTGGAAAATATGAGTGGTGTCCCAGTCTGAGTAAGGAGGAAAAGATATTTCCATGGAAGGGTGGAGATCTGAAGTCCACAGGGCTGCATTAGTTAGTTGTGGCAGGGTTTACTACAGTTAGGGATTTAGTTTTCTCTGACAATAAAGATATCTGGTTGGAAGATTTCTGCTTTTCTGAAGAGAGAATTAGGTGGCAGGTATCAGGAAGGATGATTTATAGGGGGTCTGACAATTCAATCTGAGGAATGTCTGTTCTTGGTTTCTTTGACATCATGCTGAGTTCTCCCTCACTTATCTCACTGTTCCCAACCCCATTTCTACTGAAATCCTTGGGTTTCTCCAAGGTCTTTCTAGCTTCTTCTCTGACTCTCTTCTCCCCCACTGGATGAGAGTAGAGGGTCCTAAACTACCCCAATGATTTAAAATCTCTACCTAGGTCCTTGGAGAAGTGGTTGCTTCTAGGACCCAGGCAAGGATAATACAAGATGATCCTGGAGGATCTTTAGTACCAAAAAGAAAGGAAGCACAGGGAACATTTAAGGGACACCGGAGCCAACCCAAAATAGCTCTCAGCCACCAAAACTGGGACAAATCCAACAGCAAAATGGAATATTGCATTATGAAGGAGAATAATACGTACAAGTCCTTACTGATTTAAATCAATGATTGAATAAATGAGTAAATAGCAGAGAAAGGTTAGCTCTTCCTTACAGAGGTTTTATAGCTAATAAATAAAAAAGGAAAGAAAGAAATAGCAAATTATCAGAACATTAGTAAAAATTGCTGTAGGTAGTATCCACCTATCAATGCAAAAATTAGTGAGTGGAAGTGTGAGGGAAAAATGAATACTGGTCTATCTTCAAAGTATTGCTCCACAATATTTGTTGTTTTAAAAGGGGGGCAAAAGTATTTTTGGGTCATTAAAAACAGTAGATAGCACCTTATACAAGTGATTAAGTTAACAGGACCCCAAAGAACTTGTATCCCGGAGAATACAAAGTAAATGTGGGCCACTGAGAAAGGCACTTTCTGTTGTGCTGTTGCTCTTTAATGCATAACTCATTGTGGTCCTGAGAACCCACCAAACAAGTGCTAATAGAGGAACATTTCACAAAATACCCGACCTGTACTCATTAAACATCAACTGAGGAGCTCCCACCCATTGGAGGAGTTGGAGACACGACTAAGTACGACGTGGAATCCTGGCTTGGACTTTGGAATAGAAAAAAAAAAAAAGGAAATTAGTGAAAAATGGGTAATAACTGAAGAAAGTCTGTAATTCAGTTAATACCGTGCAATGTTAATTGCTACTTGTGATCGTTGTAGCGTGGTTTTGGTGATGAGACCGCTGAGTGAAAGGTGTAGAAAGCAGCTCTGTCTTATCTTTGCAAATCTTCTGTCAATATAAAATTATTTCAAAATAAAGAATTAATAACAAAATATATATATACGTAAAAAACTTAATCCTCTGTATCTCTGGATCTCATTTTTCATTTTAGAATCTTTATACTCCTGTTCATATTTCATATCTTCATTCATTTTTGTCCTCAGATGCTTTTATCACCTCATCTTAAAAATAAAAACCACTGACTTTTCTGAGAATCTGTCAGATGGAAGTACATGGTAAGATATCTTTTGCCCTCTAGCTACAGAAATGATGGATAAAATACAATTTTCAAACTTGGTGAGCTAGAGAGGTAAACTCAAATGGAAGGGAAGCTCCCAGTGACACAGCAGAAAGTAATGATCAGCGGAGAGATAAACCTCTTGGCCCGAAGGCAGGGGGTGATCCCATTGCTGGGATAAGATTTGAAGTTTCAGGCTACCGCCAGGTGAAGAACTGGAAACTTGGGAGCCAGCAGCCAACCCAGGCAGGGGTCAAGGAAGCCTTAGGTGAGGGGCCATGGGTGGGAAAATAATCACTCTTAAGATACCAAATTCAAGTCTATACATTTTGTAGCGGTGGAATCCAAGTTTCTACTGCTCACATGGGAGAGAAGCTAAGAAATTTATGCACAAACTGCTAGTGGATGGATTACACCGCCATGGGCTGAGCAGGGGCATGTGCAAAACCACTTTTAGGGTTGTTTGCTTTTCTGAGAACCCATCAGATGGAAGTGCACGGTAAGGCATCCTTTGGCCTCCAAGTACAGAAATGATGGGTAAAATATAATTTTTCAATATTAATGAGGTATATAGAGGTAAACTCAAGTGGAAGGGAAACTCCCAGTGACAGAGCAGAAAGCAATGATCGGTGGAATATGAGGTGTGTGGCCCGAAGGCAGGGGCCTGAGAAGATGTAAGGTTTCACAGGTAAACACGTCAATGAATGGTAATTCAGTATCAAAATTATAAACTTTCCAGAGGAACAAACCATCATGAGCCACAAGAAAATGAGCAGCCAAAGAACCTAGAAGAAAAAAAGCAACCTAAAATATAAAGTACTTAGTGTTTTAAAAAACATTTTTAAAAAATGTTTAAATGAAGGCATAGTATTGTACCCCAAGTAGAGGTCAGCATGAAACTAGAAAAGATTTTTAAATACCGGGTTCTAGAAATAACCTAGAGCCATTGGTGGTAGAACCTCAATGGAAATGCAACACCGTAGAGAGCCCTGAGGACAAGAATTCAATACTAGAAAATAAAACCGTGGAAATTATTCAGAATAGAGATCACAGAAGTATAAAGAAGAGAAATTTAAAGCAGAGTTTTAGAGTTGTGGAAGCTAGAAAAAGGTACAATGGGTTTCTAAAAGCAACTCTGCAAGGATAGAACAGAAGCAATGTTTGCAGTTTATGTATTTAACGTTATGGCCAAGATTGCAGGTACCACGTGGTTAGTGGATGATAAAGACCTTCAGTGCTCTTCATTGTGGCCACACTCAACTCATTCCTCTCAGATTATGCCGTTGCTGGTTGGAACTATATCCTTTCTTCCTTTCATCATCCAAATTATTTTACCCCTTCCAAGGATCAGTTTAAATTTTGGTTTCTCTATAAAGGACTCTCAGTGATTCTCTTAGTTAAACTTCTTTATAATTGGGTCTGAACCACCCAACTAAGTACTTAATTATATTTTGCGCTATGGTTTGGGAAATTATGACAACTCAACACATCCTGCCCACTGCCTGTTCTTGAATGGTCTGCAAGCTAAGAATAGTGTTTATAGTTTTAAATGGTTGGAAAAAATCAAATGAAGAATAAAATTTCATGTACAGGAAGACAATACGAAATTCAAATTTCAGCGACCCCTTGAGGATCCGATAAAGTTTTATTGGAACACAGCCACGCCCATTTCTTATGTATTCTCTGTAGCTGTTTTCATGCTGCAATGACAGTTAAGCAGTTGCAACAAGGCACATATTGCTCACAGTGACTAATATATTTACTTTTGGGCCCTTTTCAGATGAAGTTTGTCAGTCTCCACTCATTCTCAGTTAACTGTCATTCACTTGAATCTTACCCTCTCAAATTTGATTGAAAACTGCTTGAATTCAGGAACATTGACTTGTGCTGCTTTTGTCTCCCTGGCATTTGACTCCTTCTGGGACACTTTAAAATTTTCCTGAGCAAATTTTGACATGTCAAGTATAGGGTTTTAAGAAACAAAATTGACTTCCTAATGCAGGCTATGAAAAAAATAAGTGATGATAGTGATTTGTATATATTACTTGTGGCCTGAAGGTAGATACTATCCTATTGTGAAACTGCGATATTACGTGACCTGGTTAACTAGAGTGACTGACGCAAGGACCTGGGAATAAGATCCAGCCAGTTAGGTGGCATAGGCTAGAGGTAGAGGATGAGAAGAGGTTCCTTCTGGCAGGCAGAACATGGTGTCCAGAGGTTTAGCCTCACAAAAACCCAGAAAATATTGAGTAACAGGGACCAAGAGGCAAGGAAGAATGGGGAGATAGGGGGCAGCCATTAGATATCTAGAGTTCCAAGGGGCGAGCAGGAGGGGCACACTCACCGAGGAAGTCAGCTGACTAGACTGCTTCCTGCCTCGGATTACGAAGTAGAGACATGGCCAAGGCTGGGGCTCAGAGGAAGATACCAGAAAATCAGACACTCAACTTATATCACAAGTTTGAATGGGTTGCATGGATGGAAGGTTCTCATGACCAATTTCTTCACTCAACCAGGTGTAGGGTTATTTAAATGCCAAGTCCTAGAGCATTAAGTTGAATATTATTTCTACCTCAAATCAGGTTTGGTTCTGTAACAGGGTGGTCCCCAGGGAAAGGGGAGTTTCCAGATTCCCTGCTGCACCCAAGG